AAGCTCGGTGCTGAGCTTGCCAGAGACAGATATTTAGTTGAATCGGTTCATTGACTTTCACTTGTACATTGACAATATATGATAGTCGTTAGTGTCGTTGTTCAGTTCGTGTCCACCATCTTGCCTAACTTGCCTATACATACCCACTGCCACCATGCCCGGCTGCTCGGTTTCCATGGCTTTACTGTGCCATCTCAAACTGTGTGCTGCCACGGTTATGTTTTGCTGGCTCGTTTTTTCGATAGGATACCCGACGAATGACTCTGCAAGACCGCAGGCTGAGGTCGAGGAAATCTCCAGGGCTTTAAGTACTAGTTAGACTGTTAGACGAGTGTTTCCGGTTTATTACAATATGTCTCTATGGGCACTATACAGGTATATGATTACTACTTTTTCTCATCCCTTCAGCACCAGAGTCGTTTAAACCAAAACAACCAACAGCTCGCAGCCGATGCTTAAGGCAGAAGCGATCTCAGATGGTCTCCCTGATGAGACAGGACTGTCTGGGAGTCAAGAGGTCTACGGGTCGTTGATTCACAGCTCGGCGAAACTAACCATCGTTGTCTTGTTCTGCAGACTTCGGACGAACCTTCGCCAGAATGCTGCCGCAGGATAAGAAGAAGCAGAAGGCTAAGGCGCGGTGGTGATGCCAAATGACCGTCGGACTTACCCACGAAGGTAGGGTTTAGGGTTTAGGGTTAAACCCTATAAACCCTAGTTCTTGCACGTAAGGTGACATCAAGGTAGGCTAGTTGTTCAGGCTCGGCCATGGAGTTGTCTCGAGGGCATAGGGCAGGAGTGAAGTTGCTCTTCAGGATGCGCCAGAGCACAGGTCCGGGATCCTCACAAGTGAAGCAGAAGAAGCCCTGAAGGAACCTTATAGATCATTATAGCAAAGTAGGCAGAAGTTCTCACAACAGGAAGAGTACACATCAAGTTCAAAAACGATCCTTAGATCCTTGTATTTGAGTCGTCCAAACCTACACACCCCAGGTCGCCCCATCAACACAGGGGCCGCAACCCTAAAAAGGTCGGTACCAGACTTGAAGACTTAACGGCAGTAATTAACTAGAATTGTCGGTATAAGTACTCATAACTTCAATAAGAAGGGACGACCTCTAACACTTCTTACTATAAGTCCCTTTAGGGCCCAGGAAAGCCCTACAGTCTCGCGTGGATGGCAAGGTGCGGCGTGCCCGCAAGGAAGCCGAAGCCAGAGGTGAAGAGGCCACCTGCGGCTCCGGTGCCTACTTCTAGGCTTCAGGCCACATTCTATAGTTAAGCGATCTTTAAATTACGGGTCGTAGCCTCCAGATAAGTGGTATCTTTAAGTGTTATATCCTATAATCAGGGGTACTGCGACGATTAAAAACAAAGAGGTTGAAGGGCTTTAACACACTTGTTCGTATGGCTTGGGGTTACAGGCACTTCGCTGGTTCTATGCGAGGAGAATGAGGGCTACAGGTGCAGGGTCTTCGAGCAGGTCGGGTTTCGGTTGTGGGTTGTATACAGGGTCTATGAGTTTATTAGGGTTTAGGGTTTAGGGTTTAGGCAGAGTGTAGGGTAGACATACGAATTAGTTTGGCAGGTTGATTTTAGGTCGATTGGGGTTTGCCCCGAGGCTTGTGGGCCCAGGCCCCGTCACTGGACCCTGAAGGATCAAATCCAAAGCCACACTGCCACACAGCACACATAATGCCGAAACAAAAGCATCAGAAGAATGCGCAGGGTGCGGTTTCATTTTGCAAAGGGAGGGAGAGGGAGAGGGAGAGGGAAACAGAGCGAGAGGTAGAGGTTGTGCAGCCAGCCAGGTCCAGCGGCAAGAGCCCAGAAGCATCGACAAGATGCGGGAGTGCGGCACCCGTGGCGTTAGCAGGTTTAGTGTAGGTTTCGGATTGCTGAAGCAAAGCGGGATTTCCTTGGGGAGGAGGGCATACTTCAATTGGAAGAGGTGCATAGACCGGGGTGCTTGCCTGGGAAGCAATTCAGAAAGCCTGAAACTTAAACTCTCGCCGGGATTGTCCGGATGTGAGCGCCGAAAACCTAAACCCTGAACGTCCGAGAAATCCTTAGCCTGCTTAAGGGCCGATGAGACCATCGTCCCAGCGGAGGACAGCGAGGCGCAGTGCTGGTGATGAGCGTTTCTATTCTGACGGCTCAGGCCTCATTCAGCTAAACCCCGTCCTGAATTAAGTATGAGTAACGGTGTTCCGTCTCTCTCTCTCTCTCTTCTCTCTCTCTCTTCTCTCTCTCTCTCTCTCTCTCTCTCTCTCTCTCTCTCTCTCTCTCTCTCTCTCTCTCTCTCTCTCTCTCTCTCTCTCTCTCTCTCTCTCTTACTCAGTCGCACAGAGCAAGTCCACAAGTGAGACTACTCGTCAGCAGCCCTTTAACGGTGTTCCGTAGGGTTCCGTATTCGAGATAATTAATCAGCATAACGCCCTCCGAAGCCCTACTCTGAGCAATTCGACCCCTGATGTTTCTCTGGGGATTTGGGCTGAGCTGCAGTCCTTAAAGCTTCTTGTTTGCAAGACAAGAATTGAGCTCTTGGGGTTCGGAGGCCAGGCTTTCAAATCTGGAAGCTTGTCCCACAAACTGGAGAAAGCGCAATGCTTAGCTGCCTAGCTAAGTATACACTCACTCTAAGTGGTTCCCTGACCTGAGCTTCTGGACTGGAGTTCTGTGCACGCTGGCCGGGCACACAGGTGGAAGAAGATGAGGCTATGGATGAGTTTGAGAGCCTTGACTGACATTGGCTTGGACTGAGCCCATGAGATGTTGACTAAGCCTTAGCTGGAAATTTCACTCTGCGCAGGACCCGCTTACTCCTGAGCTGCGTACCACGAAGGGCATGTTCCTTCGGATCTGTTTCGCAGGTTTCTGGCACAAATCGACGTTATAGTTTTGCCTCGATCTCTCACATGGCATGTCGTACGTTGGCGGTATGTTGAACTTGCCGATATGTCTGTCATATCCTGATAAGTGTAAGGGGCAGGTTCAGAAGCAACGCTCAGCACATGTCTTTGCTGAGAGCCTTTTTGCGCAAGCTTCCGGCAATCCTGATCCGAAGAAAGATCGATTCGGATCCGGTTTGCTTGCTACATTGCTCACCCTGCCTTCTTCAGTGTCCAGCACTGGGTTCTGGGTAACGTAAAAAGTTTCAATATAGGTCACTAGGTTCGACAGAGCTTTGCACTCATGTTTCACGTTTTTCGAAATTCCTTCACCCCATGCTGAGCCAAGGAAGTATTTCCAAAATGGAAAGAAACCGCCAGGGACCCGGTGAACCTCCGCCATCGGGGATGCAGCATTCTTCTCAATCTTGATTTCTTTCCAAGCTCGCTACCACCGTTAAGGGTTTCGGAGGTTGATAGTCTTTTTCTGTTGAAGAATGTGCTGTACGGGGTTTCATGCGAAGGAGACGTCATTCAGAACACTGCGGATTCCACCAAGCCTTGTGTCGTTCTTCGGAAGGTGGTTGCTGAAGTCCAAGTAGCTGAGACATCGAACTAACTTTCTGCAGGCTAACGAACAGCAAGAACCTGACAGGCTTGTAACGCGAGAGTCAATCATCAACCACAGCTTTGGAAGGTACATCGTCGAGTAACGGTCCCCTTTGATACTTTGCCCCGAACCTGCGCTCGGCCTTGAACCTGGACATCGGAGTGCTTCGTTGATACTTAGCATTCCAGGAAGATCCTCGTCACGACGCAGCAGAAGCCCTCAAAGAAGTGCTTCGACTTCCTCAAGGAGCTATTCTGTGCAGAGATGTGATGGTGGAACTTAGATCCGACTTCCGATTTCACAGTGTAGAGCTTTAGTAGAAGTTTCGGTTTAACAAAACCTGGAGAACAAGCAAGTTGTCAGAAAGCACAAGTTCAAGCGGAGAGTCGAAGCTTTTAGTTCGCTCGCCGCTTATGCATGCTGTCTTGAAGCATCTCCGCGCCCCGCCCCCCCCCCCCCCCCTTCAATAGATATGTGGCTTGTCCGGTGAACAAACAGGCTAATTACATGAGGTAGAGTAAGCCGGGAAAATCCCAACCTGCACGCCTGATACTCTTCATAAGCTCACGGCAAGGAGCTCGTGAATGTCATTCCCAATGCTTTCTACTACCCCCGCGGCTCGACGATGGGCTTTCCATTTCCAGACCAGGCTGAGGTGTATTGGGTTTTCTTCTCAGCTATGGGTAAGCATGGGTTTTTGGCGGCATGGCGACGGTGCGGGGATCTTGGATTGGGACACCAGATGAAGGCTGCGGTTTTCTGAATGTGGAAGTGGGAAGATGTAGAAGGACTGTTGGACATCAATACCCAGTGTCACCACGTGTTGTAGCAATTCTCGGTTTGGGGTCTCCTGTTTGTACTGCTCGTGAGCAGTAATCAAGACTGTTTAGATGCCTCGTGGCCTGCCGAATCTGGCTGGATTTTCGCAAGGCCTCGTCAACTTTTTTTGCAAGTGAGAAATCAACTGGTCCTGGAATTTTGCAGAACAAAGTCCTACTTGCCTCAGGCTCGCGGCTCGTGCATTCAGAAGGTATTTTGCACAGACCCGGCAATATGTTGCCAAGGTCGAGACTTTCCCTTTAAGAAAATCTGCGAGTACGCCAGCAACAAGGCGCAACATTGCTTCCGAAAGCTTTGACATGCTTCAGTGCTGTCTGGGAGTCGGGGTTTAGAGAGAACAGCCGCAACCATGCCCAAGCTCTGTACGCTTCGGAAGCGCGGCGGCTTGTTCCTTGTCTCCGGGTCTCAGGGTTCAGGAATCCACAGCCGAAGCCAGCAAAGCCGAATGAATGTGCATGCTTGCCTGTAGAAACAGATTTCAGCCCGAGAATACATATTTCTGGAATGAACGTTGCTACAAGACTCCAAGAATTCTGTAGACTAGCCATGTCGCCCCTACAGCCCTGCGTACCAGACAGCCTTGCACTTCCTGATCCGACCACCTACCGCCTCCGCCGTGAGCCCTTAATTCAATCAGTCGGGACACAGCAGCGGAGCGGATGGTGCAGGACTTCACCGACGTCATGCTCTTCCACGAGAAGGCGAAGGTCCTGCGAGGAGCTCAGAACAAGAGCTTGATCTGCGGAAGTGCGCATGAAAGAGATGTTTCAGCCTGTGCTTGGGCATCATCCGAGTTTTTAAATCGGAGTAGCGAAAGCCAGAAATCGTGCTTTGGCAACTTCCCTCGCCTATCAAAACGTTTCAGGCGCTTGATTGATGCCTTCGCTATGAAGCTAAGCACAAACACCCGCAGACCGTAGTCAGCCAGGCCCGGTAGGTTCCTTGAGCCCCATCTGCTGCGTGGCTCCCAGGCAGGGCGTGTATATTAGCCATCTCCCGAAAGGACGGGCTTCCTGCAGTGAAGCTCTGGGACTCTGGGACAGAGATAGTTGGATGTCGAAGCGCTTCGAACCTATACTGTGTCGTTATATGATTATATAGTGGTTAGAGTCGGTTAGAGCTTAGGTTCAGCTGGGCTTGAGCTGAGATCTTAGTAGTACCGGCACCTGGAGCCCAAGCTCGGTATTTAGCAGCTTTTTCGTGGAAACAGCTCCGTTCCAGGACCCACGTCCTACTGGCGTAGGAGTCTCAGACAATGGGATTCCCTGACTGCTTGCTTTTATGCCGCGGCTTTCTTGCGAAACCACTCGGACTTGAGACCGACAGAACTGTCGCGATGAGCTACCACCCATTCTAAACCTTGATCGAATGACCACCCTGGCTGTGAAAGTTGCGGGGTCATGCGATGGATTTACCTTATTGCGAAGCTTCCTTCTTGAATTAAATGCTGAACCGACGGGACAACGCAAGCCTGGAAGCTTCGGCCTCGCATTTCAGGCATCACGCGGCTAAAGCTGGGCCAGGAGCAGCTGCCAGGGATTGTTGGGATGTTGCTGAGGATTTCGGACACAAGACTCCAACCTGGACGGTTTTGGCCTAACCTGGGCCTTCTAGCCACGGAACCCTAACCCAATCCGATAGTAGGCCCTAGGGACCTTTTGGCTCAACGGCTTGCTGATGGGACATCGGGCAGAAGAGAAGTTGCCCACTTCCGGGCGACCTCAGACCTAATTCTTCCTTAAACTTCAAAAACCCTCACACGGAGAGACAACAAGGGCTCTCAGCTGTTGAGGACATGAAGGGCGGGGCAACCTGCAACGCTAGCCGTTGACCCAGCAAGTCCACGACGGTTTGGGGGTCAGCCATACCCTGACACACACTGGTGTCTCCAGCACGAAGCCTTCACCTCTACGTAGTTAGGCAGGTTACGTCTCGAGGCAGGATACTCCGTGGGACGCCATTGGTATGTTCCATATATCTTAGGGGGTTAGTTCCGTTTTGGGTACCAGCAACCTCAAATTGAAATACTTGGACCCTTTGAGCCCCAGGGTATCCCCCCCTTACTCCAACACGAAACCGAAGACCCGATCCGGAAGTTTTCTCGTGGTGGCAAGCGTTTTTTGTACCACAACAAGATCGACCCACAAGGCCCTGTAGCCATGGAAAGCCTTCAGCTTCAATGTCTGTTGCATTGCAACACCCCTGCTACAGGTACCGTTTTGCGAGGGTCGTGGCAGTGTTGGGGAGTGCCGGTCAAGAAACTCCAAGCTATTCCACAAGGTCACAACCCGGAGCTCATCCTCAATGGCTTCGTGACACGATTAGGCCTTTCCCGTGGCTCTATGTGGGAGTTTCCGAAAATAGGGGAACCTAATATGGTACCCTAAATGCCCTAAATAGTAGGATACTTATTATAAGTACCCCAGAATATGGTACCCCTATTTTCGGAAACTCCTATGTGCAGATTTGGGTTCGGGAGTTGTTGATTACACGCTTTAGGGTTTGAGCAGGGCGAAGCAGCACCAGGGAGTAAACTGTGTAGGGTTCCAGGCTTGAAGAATTTCGGTATACGGATCGGCGTTTCGGGTGTAGGCTATCACGGGCTTTGATGATTGTGGGTTTCCGGGGGTGTGGTTTAATTATGGGTGGGATATATGCATTTCGGGCTGAATCTAGTGAAACCGGTATATGTTCTGTCTGCATGACATATTGCAAGTTTCAGTTCCAAAACCTATAATTACTTGGTTTGAAAAAAGTCTTTCGCGAATCCATGCCTAAGGTGATCTGCAAGAGCTCAGGTTTTTGCTGTTTTTGGCACTTTTTTTTTTTAAAAAAAAAATTCTGGCCTCAGGTAATTTCCGCCAGTGGAGACACACACACACACACACACTCAGCGGGCCCTGGGGCTCCTGGCTCCTAGCTTTAGCTCCTTACGGCAATAGTAGTACTATGGTAGTAATATGATAGTAATATGGTAGTAATATGGTAGTAATATGATAGTAATATGATAGTAGTATGGTACTGTAGTAATATTTAATATGGTCGTAATATGGTAGTAGTATGGTGGTGATATGGTAGTAATAGTAAGTATCTTGACCTGTGGAGGTCACTCGGCAGTGGTCGTGCCAGCTCAAGTCCTGCAAGATCTTGCAAGGAACCTGCCTGAAGGAAGTAAACCACACAGGCTGTGTTTCTCCTGACCAGGCCGGCGCCTCGCGAGGCAGTTCGCGGCTCTTTTTCCACAGAGGCCGCAGTCTCAGAGATCCCATCCCGAAGCCGCGAAGCCCAACATCGGCATGTCAATGCTCAAGGTTTTCGAAGTTTTGAGCTGAGCAATTGGGAGTCCGGGGATGGCCAGTTCGCAATCGGCCAGCGATGAGCGGAACGTGGCCCTAGTCTTCTGGTGCCCTACCGTGAGAGCCGAACCTTCCCAGCATTGCCGTCGTGCACATTGCCACACCCCTCCGCTCACCACCACCACCGTCGCCAACCGCCATAGAAGGCATCCTACTCTGCAGGCCGATAACCATCGCTGCAAGCTTACCCTTGGCAACTGCAACTGGAAATCTTCCAGGCGCTGTAACCCTGTGTGGCCACGTTCGCTCTGCTTGGTCGGCACTCTCACCCGAAATTCAGAAAAACGGAAAACCTTAACCAAGACCTGCAAGCCCCAGACCAACAAGGCCAGATTTCGAAGGCCGAAGGACCGGCTCATATGTTGCTGAGTTTAGGATTTAGGGTTAGGGACTGTGCCTTTGAATTTTGTTCTATTGGCCCAGGGTCTGTGGAGGTTCCGAGCTTCATCCGCGGAGGCTTTCACTTAATTAGAAGCGATGGTGCCTGACTTCTAGGCGGGCTTTGTCCCGATCCTAGGCGAAGACTAGTGCGCAGGCTCTTGCAGGGTCTGAGTCTCGGGCGGCGGTGCTAGAAGAGTCTGCGCGGGGTAGCAGCTTCTCGTCAAATTTTGGAAGCCCTTCCTTTGTCGAAACGGACCCTCCTCTTCCTTGCTAACCGGTTTCATAACACAACAGCAAGTTTAAGAGCCTTTGTCGGGGCCCCTTTTCGTTGAGAATTAGTGGGGCTGAGTTTTTCTGAAGATGCTCATGTAAACACATACCCGCGTAGACTATCATGTCGGAAGCACGTGCATGCCTCCAACCTTGCAGGATCCTGCCGTCATCCCCAGATTTCAGGCGGAAGGTCCATGCTTTGAGAGGGAAGACTTCCAAGAGCCCCGAAGCTTAACGGCTTAACCTTGAGCCCCTTAACCCTGAAACCACAAAAACCTGCAACTCTTGAAGCCCACAGCATGAGAGGACCGTGACCTTCCACAACCAGCGAGATTTCATATTCTTCCGGCACTACAGGCTGGCACTTTCGGGTTTAGTAGTCCAGGATTTCCTTGGGATCGTTTCTATCACGGCTGGAACTTGCAGGACACGCCGGACTGCACTTGAACTGGCGCGTCAGTCAACATCATATACACACACACACACACACTAAAACCCCAAAGTCCGAGACCCTAAACCACAAGCAAATCAATCCGTGCAACAGAATCGTCGCCTTGCAAATCCCACGGTTGCATATGGTCTCATGTATGTCTAGCCATTGCGAAGCAGCAAGACTAATCACAGCGGGAACGGCCCGCATGATGTGCCGAGCACTCAGAGTAACCTGGCAGTCTTCAACTTCAATTGAGGCGAGCTGAGCAGAAGCTGGTGACTGACAGGTACCTATGCAGGTCTTCTTAGGGTATGAGCTCACTTGCCCTGGGGCGTGGCTTTTCGGACCCATCATCATCTAAGCCCAGTATACTTCCACGTCAGTCCCAAACTGAAACTACAAACACGATCTCTGAAGCATACCGCCCTCACACCGAAACCGCAGCAGGTTAAGGGGTGGCGAGCCCTTGTGTACATCAAAGGCATCATCAAACCACAGACAGCACAGCCCATTGCTTTGAAAACCAGATCCCAGCATCAAAAGAAGCTACATAGGCTCCAGAAAGTCCCCTAGCGGTGGGAGGTACGTCTTCAAGGAGGACGGCACGAAGTGCAAGCTCCAGGAGATTGGGCCCAGGTTCACTCTAAAGTGCAGGCCGGGCTCCGGGGATCGGCCGGTTGGAGGTGTTTTTCAAGCAGAAGCTTCTTGGAGGGGACTCTTTAAGGGACCCGGATCCGCAGGCGTTAAAGCGGGCGGGGGTGTACCGAGGGTCTAAGTTACATGTGTGCTTTGTGTGTGTATTTCTTCGTTTGATCATCCATGCATGTATGTGTGTATGCACGCATGGGCTTGTATAGCATGGCATTCTCTAGCACAGCGTGTTAGCATGTGATGATCGTTATTCTCATTTGTGCGTTCCTGATCGTTTGCACTAGCTTGCCAAGGTAGTATTAGTATCAGTATCAATCAAAGGCCACAGTAGTCTTCGTTTTCGAATCCCGACATCCGCCAAAACGACAAACCACCGACCCCAACACTCCCGTGACATCCGGAGATGCCAGAAACCCTAAAGCTGCTACGAAGCCTCGGCTGGATATCCGAGGTACCTGCAGCACGGCACCTTTGATGCCAAGGAGGGCGAGTACGAGTTTATCTGGAGACCAGACTCTCAGGCCCCTGGCCCTGGCCCCTGGCTACCACAGGGGGGTTGGGATTGTCGCGCTTGAGGGTTTCTAGGGTTCAGGATTTACGAGAGGGTCACGGCTTTAGATCGAGGTTCCGAGCGGTTCAGGTTTTGGGCCTGACGAAGATTTGGACGGGGTTCGTAGTTTTAAGTTGCAGAAGGGAGCGTGTAATTATTCTGAGAGGTTTGCAACGAGTCCTGGCCAGCTGGCGGTTGAGCCCTTGGGCCCTAAGCCGAAACCTTGGACTTGAAGCTAAGCCAGGTCCTATAGGACCTGGCTTAGGGCTCATAAGCCCCCAAATTCTCGCTCAGAATTGAGAGGCCAAAGCCTGCCTACAAGTCAGAACTCGAGATTTGAGGGGGGGTTGAATGTACTAGGCACGATACGGCATGTTTAGGCTGTGGAGTTTGGAGTTTTAGGGACTGGGGCTTGTAAGGTGTGGGGTCCAGAGTGTGATGTAGATTCAGCTAATGATCTATCGCACCCTTTATCCCCACCTCGAATGAGTGCACACCTTGCCATAAACCCCGTCCCTTCGACCAAAGCCGGGCCGACAGGTAAGCCGGAAGAAGTTCTTCGTCGCGAGCTCGGGACCGGCTCCTTGGGGGTGGCTTTAGGCTTTGGGGTTCAACGGTGCGGTGCAGGGTTCACAGATTCCGTAAAGCCTTTATGTTTTCAGGAAGGGACGCTGAATGGACGGCTGGCTTGACATGAAACACGAAGAAGGGAGCCCACCGCCTGGTTCCCAAACTCAAACTCCGAAACGACAACGCTTGGGCGCTAAAGCACAGACCTGCCTATTCTAGTCTTTACGGGGGGCTTGCCCTAGCCCCCATGTCGCAAAAGCCTACAAAGTGCTACAAGATCCTACAAGCTTCACAAGTCCTAAGGTCTGATCCACAGTGCTTCGAGAGGTGCGGTCGCAGATGCTTGAGCCCTTTTACCCTTGCAGTCTCTCAGAATATCATGTATAGGATTCAAGACTTTGGGTTTGGTGCTTGGGGCTTGGGGTTTCGGGACGTTTAGACTTAGACTATAAGCACTAAGCCGTATAGTCGGCCTTTAGTAGGGAGCTGCGGCTACGAGCGAGATCCCTGAACCCTGAATCGGCAACCCGACGTCAAGGTCAGAAAAGACTGTGCTTGGGCAGATGGGTACCTGGTTCCGAGGTTTAGGGCGCTGCTGTGGCCGGAAGTAGCTGAAGTGAAGTCTCCAAGCAGGGTGATCACATGATTCATGAATGATCTGTCGTGCTGTGCAAGTTTTTGTGCATTTGCAAATTCCCGACCTGCATGTTCATACAAACTTCGTGAGCTGACGGAGGGTGGAGTGTCATGCACGCATGCTGTTCTGCTGTTGGAGGTCAAGGTTGAGGGTGCAGCCCTCTCCTTGTCGCTGAAATGCAGGACATCCACAAATTCAAACCTCCATCCCTCCATCCAGACAATCCATCACAGTTCCTATACACCCCTGCCGCACCCCGTGAGCCTGAAACAGTTGGGAGTGCCTTCCCGAAGCCGCAGAGCCGCAACCCGGGACAGGGCTTCCCTAGTTCTACAGAAGCCGAAGAATTAGCAAGACCCAATAACCTTCAAAGAACCCTTAACAAAACCTACAAAGCTCTCTTCGACTCTTCGAATTGTTAGTGCCTCTGCGTTCGGTTGTTGAAAAGTTATTCCGCGGCCCTTGCTCGTTGTTGCCATGGCATCGAGCAGCGGATGGGTCCCTCCGGGCGACCGGGGACAAGGAGGCAGTGTGGCTTTGGAGTCAGTGTTTCGAAGCTTTAAACTTATATATAGCCGGTAATTGGGTTTTCTTGCAGCTTCGGCTGTCAACCTTGCAGCGTATGCCCTTCCGATTCGCCGAGTCTCTACATGAAACAAGATCTTCTCACCTTGAACACACGCTCCGAAACTCAAGTCTCCATTCCGAAGCTGCCAGGGGGAGTTCGGTGTTGGCAGACTTGGACTCAGAGAATGAGGCTGGAGACTTGCAGGTTGAGGGCTGCAAGGCGACGGGAGACTTAGGTTGTGGCTTGTCGTCTTCTCACTTGTGTTTATGTAGGTAGCGTCAAGCGGGGTTTGATCGGCTTTCCATGCCTAGACGGCTTGGGGTTTCACGATTTCCATGTCGCCGTGGACTTGCTCCATGAGCCGAAGCAATCTCAGTTTCTCGGGGCTTTGGCATCTCTTTCTCGGGAGAATCCAGATACTAATTCTGGGGCCAAAGGGGCTGCCCTGGACGGTTCCCAGGAGCTTTGGGTTTATGTTCGGACTTCCGGCCGAGGTTGAAGCCTTCGGTGCTTCCCAAAGCAAAATCCTACACGCAGTAGCCTATAACTGCAGCATCCATGAGGTGAGAGAAGTGGTGGAGGGTGTCCTCCCCACCTGGCGACACGATGCAAAGGCGTATTTCGTGTATTCAGTTCATGGCTTGGAGTTAAGGGTTCACGGCTTAGACATGTTGGGGGTTCGGGGTTCAGAGTTTCAGGGTCGAGGGAGTAAGATTTGGGAATTAGGGCTTTAGCGGTTCAGGATACAGGCATGAGGAGTTTTTGGGATACGATAGAAGCTTGGCAGTTCAACCATAACTCTGATTAGCCGGCATTAAGGCAATCTGCGAACCGAAATTAACCAATAGTAACAGTCATGCAGCGGTGATTCCACTGTTGCTGCTCCCACAGAGACAGGAGAGTCAACACCCAACGAAACAACAATCCCTGACTCTTCGAAGCTTGCAAGAAGGCTGCTACCGCGGCGCTGCGCCATGCTGCGCCAGCATGGGCCGCTGCAGCGCTTCGATGCATGGTCCAAGGCCGCTTGTCCGAGATTTCTGAGACTCAGCGATTGAACAATGTGTTGGTAAGGCCCTTCTTCAATGGCGTTTGCAGGAATCTTTCAGGGCGTGTTTTTGTGGGTTGCTCAGCCGAATACGAAACTGAGATTCAGAGGGCTGAGAAGCATCAGAGGTCGAGTAAGAGCGCGAAACCTTACCTCCATTCCTTTAGGTTTCAACAAGGCTCTTGATGTAAGGCAAACCTAAGCCGGAAACGAACAGGACACTGACAATCGTGAATGTATCAGGCCGGGTACAACTTGCCTTTGATAGATGCTAGCCTTCGTTTGGCGCATCAAGGTCAAGGCCTTCCACGGTAACCCTCTGGACCTGAACCGCTTTGCTCTGGTCCTTGAGCCCGACATGTCATGCAGGAGCAGAAGAAACTAAAATTATCCCCAGTAGCCAAAAAAAGCACCGAACCCTTCCTTGCCCAGGGCGTCTGGAGGTGAATGCCTTTCACTGCAGCGCGGCTTTGGCCTCGATGGCTCCTCGGCGCTCCGTTTCATGCCGCCCTGGATGGCTTGGGGTCTCGGTTAAATATAGGGGGGGCCTTAACTTAGTGGCTGTAAAACAAACTTTTCAACTTTTGCCGGGAATGGGTTGTATGATGCCTAGGATAGCAATAAGAGAGGGTTGCTGGGGGGGTTAGAGAGGTAAAGAAGGGGATGGGAAACTAGTAGAGGTGATTCTCAAGGTCTTGTTTTGGGTTTTTAAATGGGGGTGTATGGGTTTGAAATAGGCCGCATAGCTGTAGTGCTCGAACGTAGTCTGACGACGTCACAACAAGCCTTGAACTTTACCCCTCCTCCCTAAACCCAAAATGTATATCCTTACACCTTCAGACACCTAAACCCTGGAAAGCTGAAGCCCATCACCCTCAACCATGGCACCACCTTAAACCCTATCGTCCCAGATCCCTACTAACTACAGACTCCCATCACCAGTGCCATAGGCCTTCAAGCTTCGTAGTCCACCCACCCTAAAGCCTAAAACCGTAACCTCGACCCTAATAATTTGAACCCAATGACACTAGACCCGAGAGGCTAACAGCTGAATGCCACCACACTAATCCCCAACACCCTAAAACCCTAAACCCTAAAACCCTAAGCCCTAAACCCAAACCCTTAAATCCTGCCCGCGACTTCATCGTCTTCTTCAACGACATGGGCCGGCCGCTGCCTGAGGGTTTTTTAGTTTTAGGTAGGACCCTAAGACCCGGTTGGTTTCCCTCCCTAACCCCGCATGACTTGTGCTTGAGTTGTTGGCAGCTCAGTCAGGCGGTGCCGGTTCTTCGTGAGCCGGGCACCAGCCGATTGAGCTGCAGGGGGTCTTCGGTGCCGGTTCTTCGTGAGCCAGGCTCCGTTGCCCCCTCAGTCTGGCGGTGCCGGTTCTTCGTGAGCCGGGCACCAGCCGACTGCGCTGCGAGCCTTTGGTGCCGGCTCTTCGTGAGCCTGGCTCCATTGCGCTCCCGGTCAGGCGGGTGCCGGCTCTTCGTGAGCCAGGCTCCCATGCCGACCTTCGGTCAGGCTTGGTGCCGGTTCTCCGTGAGCCGGGCTCCGATGCCGACCGAAAGCTCTGAGGCCTCGCCTGAGCTTTGGAGTTTTGGTCAGGCACGGTGCCGGTTCTTCGTGAGCCGGGCTCCGATGCCGATCAAAATCTTCACAGCCGGCATGATTGGCCCGAGCGTTTCGGTCAGCTCGGCCGATGCCTGGACTGGCCCATTGTGGTGTGCCGTCCGGCTGGGTTTTTTTCAGGGTGAGGCCCCAGAAACCCCCCCATTCGGATTTGGGATTGTGACCCCAGATTCACCCCCCTAAGTTTCAGGGTGTTGCGGTATTGATTCGGGTTCGGGGTGGCCTTCGAGCCTTTGGGGTTTGGTTTGGGCCTGGGGTCTAGGAGGGTGGTTTAACTTGGTGCGTCTGAGGCCTGACCATCACCGCCTGACCGTCGTGGCGCCTGGCCAGGCAGGTTTCGCAGTGAAGTCCGTTTCCAGCTTAAATTTGAAAACTGTATGGCCATTTCACTCAGGTCTGACCATTCGTAAAACTGATGATGCCCGGCACCCGTTACTTCGCATGTTCTTTCTGACTGTTGTGTCACTGGCTTAGGTCTGACTTGGACAATGCTGGCTGACGAGGGGTGCCTGGTTCCTGGCACGGTACCGCACCACAGCATTGCATCCTGATTGACTGTCTCGTTGTGTGTCTGAGGCCTGACCTTGGCTGATGTTGCGAGGTGCCCGGGGGCTTCGCCTGGGTCTGCCTCACAGTGTCGCTGGACTGAGGCCTGGCGTTGGGCATCTGATGACGAGGTGAGGTGCCCAGATTCTGATTCGCAAGCCCTTAGACTTTGCACTGTTGTTTTAAGGCCTGATCTCAGCCCTTGGGTTCGTCGGTTGATGATGCCAGGTGCCCGTTTCTGCTTCACATTGCAACATGTCATGGTGTTCCCTAGCCCGGTCTAAAATACGAGGAAGCACCATGAGACCCGCTCTAAGGCAACATCCAGGTTTCATGATGCGAGGTGCTTGGTCCTGTGTCTGATGCACTTGGGCTGGCCACACTGTTATTTGATTGAGGCCCGACCATGGCAATGGACGACGACGATGAGTTGCGTCAATATTTGGATGCGGGGCGCCCGGTGCTCTTCAGGAGACTGGTCTTGGTTCGCCGGTTAAGTTCCCCCCCCATGCGACGGAGGTTTGACTTTGGATGACGACGTGCGGTGCCCGGTTCTTCTCATGTTCCTGCATGCACTTAGTGTTTATTGTTGCAGTCCGTTTGGTTTGTCGGCACGATTTGTCGAGGCTGGAGCCTGCTGCATCCTCTTCGACTTCCTCGTCTGAGGACCGTGTGCTCCGTGCCATTGAGATGTGAACATGGTTGGCATGGATGAAGCGTGGCTTGAGCATCGGCTGTGCATGCTGCTTCTTTCTTCTCAGACTCGTCATGAGTTCATGATTTAGCATTTCCGGTAGATGACTTAGGTGCAGTCACTTCTTCAATCGTCAAAAAAATCAGCGACTGCGGATCCTAACTTAAAGAAAGCTCCTTGGATGGAGCTTCCCATCACATGTGTCACATGTGGACAGACATCTGCCTGAAACTTACACAGACTTACACTGCAGCATTCCTTCGGTAGTACACCGGGACAGATCCCACTTTTGGAGCCCAAAACCGGGTCTGTAATTGGCCGACTTAGCACCCCGCTCCCAGCTTGGAGCCTCCGAAGCCATGACATCGTCTTCGGGTTCCTCTTCTTCGTCATCGACAAGGTCATCCTCGTATTCAACCTCCTCGTCTGACAGTGACGTTCAGGAGCAGCCTGAGAGGCCTGAGTGTTAGCCGTCGTGTCGTTGACAATTGAATGATGTGTCCTGGCAGGCAGCAGCGAAAGAAGCCGAACGTTCGAAAGCGTCGGCAAAACCGCGAAAGGCTGGCCCGAGAAGCTGCCGGGAGCAGCAATGACCACCTGAGGTTGGTACCTGCTGCTGGGAGCAGCCTGAGGGAGGCTGAGAAGAAGGAGGACAAGAAAGACGAGAAGAAGTCTGAAAAGAAGGACGACAAGAAGGAGGCGAAGCTGCCTGACAAGAAGGTGGAGAAGAAGGAGGACGAGAAGAAGCCTCCAAAGGCGGAGGATGAAAAGAAGGCAAAGGAAAAGAAGGATGACAAGAAGGCTGAGGAGGCGGCTAAGAAAAAGGAAAAGAAGGATGACAAGAAGGTCGAGGAGGCGGCTCAACAGAAGAAAAAGGAAAAAAAGGACGACAAGAAGGCTGAGGAGGCGGATGACAAGAAGAAAAAGGAAAAAAAGGATGACAAGAAGGCTGAGGAGGCGGATGAAAAGAAGAAAAAGGAAAAGAAGGACGACAAGAAGGCCGAGGAGGTGGAGGAAAAGAAGAACCAGGAAAAGAAGGAAGCGGCTGAGGAGTGGGCTTTGCACCGCCGCAAGGCTGAGGAAGCCGTGAGGAACCTGAAGAGGCCTTTGACGCCTGAGAAAGGGCACGGCAAGGGCAAGAAGGGCCGGAAGGGGACGGGGAAGGGGAAAGGAGAAGAGAAGAAGGAAAAGAAGAAGAAGGATAAGAAAAAGAAAGATAAGAAGAAGTCCAAAAAGGACAAGAAAGACAAGAAGAAAAAAAAGGAGAAAAAGGAAAAGGATGAAAAGAAGCATTTGTTGACTGATCCTGAGTCCAGAAGATATTGTGGCATGTCCTTTGAGGCTTCTTGGCTGATTTAACTCCTCTGAGTTTTCGTGGCATGTGTGAGTTCGAGCGTCTGTCGGACAGCAAGGAGCTGCTGTCGATGTACGTCTCGCGTGCCTCGGTCCTGGTCTTTCTTCGAGACTCGGTGAAGGCCGGGCTTCGTGACCTTATTAAACCCTGTGCCTGAGAAGCCAGTTCATCAATGTGTCGGCAGGGAGCACCGGACCGCTTCACGGAGGGGACGTTCAACTGTCCGGTGCCTGAGAATGCCGACCACAAGGAGACCCTGAAGCAGGCGGGAGTCTGCACCTGGCATTCTGTTGTTTTTGAATTTGTCGCAGCGCACATCTGGGCCAGGTGTTGATACACAGGGTGATACACCAGAGGGCCTACCTGAGATGGTGGGCTCTCAACAGCCCTGCGGCATTCCACAATGCAATGAGGACGGCAGGCCTCCACGAGCCTTGGACTGCATCCACTCTTGCTCCATTTCGTCATTATGCTACATTTCGTGTTTTCCGTCATTGACATTGAACGTCATCTCACTGAGGTGCCTGACATCTATGACCTCTCAGCTCCTGGCAATGGGCCTCCTCCTCCTCCACCACCACCACCGCCTCCGCCAGCGACTGACCCTCCGAAGGGAAAGGGCAAGGCCGGCAAGGCTAAGGGGCCTGAGCCCAAAAAAGGCGGCAAGTCCGGGTAGGCCAAACCCTAAATTCTAAACCCTATCTAAACCCTACATGTGTCAGCCTGATCTACCTGGCCATTCCGCCTGATTTTCATGCCTCCGTCTCCTGGGGTGCCCTCTAAATGGCGGGCCCACTGCAACAGCTTGATCTCCGGGGTGCGGCGGCAAAAAGAAGAGTCGAGTTCACTGCACAACTTTGCCAGTTTGTCTTTAAAAGTTTCGTGCACAGAGCCATGACTGCTTTTGGGAAGGACTCCTCCTTCTGTTTCGTCTGGGCAGCTGCGGCCTGAGCATACCGGTGCCCCTGCAGTGCCTGGAATCGGAAATCCATGAACATCTGGTTCAGGTGCTTTCGTGATCATCTTTCACTTTGCCTTCGGTTCCTCTGGCTTTGGACTTAAATACCCTGCCTCCCATGACTGCCCACTTGCGACACGACAGGTCTCGGATGCCTGACCGTGTGGACGAGCTGCCGTCGTTGCAGAGTCTGTGGGGGACCCGGTCAAGTGGATTCGCCAGCCTGGATTTGGGCATGTGTTTGATGCCATGCGTGCTGCCTTTAACTTTTTTCCTGTGTGCTGTGGATCAAGATCAC